AATATCCTCTTCAATATCCTTTTTCAGAGTACTGTTGTTTTCAATGTAGCAGTCTTTTACGTCTTTCATTAGATTTATTCCCAAGTATTTAATTTTTGGGATGCTGTTGTAAAAGGTGTTATTTCCCTGATTTCTCTCTCAGTGAGTTTGTTATTCATGTGCAAGAAGGCTATTGATTTTTGAGTGTTGACTTTATAACTAGCTACATTAATAAATATTCTTATTAAATCTAGAAGTCTTTTGGTGGAATCTTTGGGATCTTCTGAGTATCATGTCTTCTGCAAATAGTGATAATTTAACTTCTTTCTTTTTTATATTTATCCTTTATTTCTTTCTCTAGTTTAATTGCTCTGGCTAAAGTTTGCAGGACTATGTTGAATAGGAGTTGAGACAATGGACATCCTTGTCTTGTTTCTGATTTTACAGTGAAAGCTTTCCATTTTTGTTCATTTAATATGATGTTGGATGTTGGTTTATTGTAGGTGACTTTTATCAGATTGAGATGAAGACCATCTCTTCCAATTTATGCAAGGTTTTTGTCATGAATGAGTGCTGGACTTTGTCTTTGCTTTTTCTGCATCTGCTGAGATGATCATATAATTTTTGTCCTTGGCTCTGTTAATATGATGTACAACACTTATGGATTACATATGTTGAATCATCCCTGCATCTCTGGGATGGATCCCACTTTATCATGGTGTACAATCTTCTTGATGATTTGCTGCAGTCTGTTTGCCAGTATCTTACTAAGGATTTTTGCATCAATATTCATTAGGGAGATTGGCCTGTAATTCTCTCTCTTAGTTGGGTCTTTCTCTGGTTTTGGTATCAGGGTAATGCTTGCTTCCAGGAATGAATTTGGAAGTATTGCTTCCCTTTCAATTTCACTGAAGAGTTTGAGAAATAGTGGTGTAAAGTCCTCTCTAAATTTCTTGTAGAATTCAGCAGTGAATCTGTCAGGGTCTGGGCTTTTCTTTGTTGGTAGGTTTTTAATTAAATCTTCTATTTCATTGATTGATACTGATTTACTTAGGATTTATATATCTTCTTGATTCAGGTTTTTAACTCATGTTTATTTAGGAACCTGTCCATTTCTTCTGTATTTTCCATCTTATTAGAGTTCTGTATTTTCAAAGTAGGTATAGATGATCTTCTGGATTTCTGCAGGGTCTGTTGTGATCTCACCCTTTTCATTCCTAATAACATAGATTCGAGACTTTTCTTTCTTTTTGTTTTGATAAGATTGGCTAAGGGTTTGTCAGCTTGATTCAGTCATTCAAAGAACCAACTCTTTGAGTCACTGATTATTTTCATTTATTTTTTTTTTAGTGTCCAGGGTGTTCATTTCTGCCCTGATTTTTGTAATTTCCTCCCTTGTACAAGCTTGTACAAGCCTGCTCTTCTTTTTTTTAGAAGGCTGAGGTTCAACATGAAGTTGTTATGTGCATTTTTTCCTGCTATGGGTATTTACTGCTATAAATTTCATTCTTAGCACTGCTTTCATTGTGTTCCACAAGTTCCAGTATGTTATATTGTCATTATCATTGAATTGTAAAAACTGTCTAATTTCTTGTTTCATTTCATCTGTGACTCATTGGTTGTTCAGTATGGTGCTATTTAATTTCCATGTTTTAATGAAATTCTTGTGGCTTCTTTTGCTGTGGATTTCCACTTTCGTTATGATATAATCTGATAGTATGCATGGGATAATTTCAATTCCTTTGCATTTACTTAAGCATGTCCTATGAGCCAGTATATAGTCTATTTTGGAGAACATCCATGTGCAGCTGAGAAGAATGTGTATTCTGATGTTGTGGGGTGGGACACTGTACAGACATCTACTAAGTCCATTTGTTTAGTTTGAGTTATTTCTAATATTTCATTATTGATTTTTTGTCTAGTTGATCTGTCCTTTTGTGACAGTGGGTTATTGAAGTATCCAAATACTACTGTATTAGGGCTTATTTGATTTTTCATGTATGGTAGTAGTCATTTTATATAGTTGGGTTTATTGGTGTTTGTTGCGTATATATTTATGATTGTCATCTCTCCCTCTTAGATTGTTTCCTTTAAGAGGATGTAGTGACCTTCTTTATCCCTCTTAATCAGTCTTGGTTTGAAATTAACTCTCTGCAAATAGAATAACTATCCTTGTTTTTTTCTGATTCCTGTCACAAGGAGTATTGTTTTCCATCTTTTGACTTTCAGTCTATGAACTTCTTTTTGAATTAAATGCATTTCTTGTATGCAGTATATTTTTGGACCTTGCTTCTTGAACCATTCTGCCAGTCTATGTCTTTTGATTGGTGAATTGAAACCATTAACATTGATGGTTAAAACTCATTGGTATTGACTTATTCTTGTCATGTTATTTTCCTGTTGTCGGCTCCTCACTATTCCCCTGCCTCTAACTGTTTGCCTTCCCTGGTGAATTCCTTTTGTTGGGGCTCATGGAGTTGTAGTCCTTATATCTTTCTAGAGAGTCCTTCAGAACATTGGGAGGTCTGACGTTTTTCAATTCCATGTATGTTCTAAGTAGTAGTCCTGTGTCTGAGGAACGACTGGGTTATTTTTTCCATTCTGTGGGTTGAGTTTTCACTCTCTTTGTGATTTCTTTTGCTGTGCCAAAGCTTTTTGATAAGATAGATCCCAGTTGTTGGCTTTTGCAGTATTTTCTGTATGATCAGAGTTTTGTTTGCCTACACCTATGTCTTCAAGAGTTCTACCTATTCTCTCTTCCAGTCAATTTGTTGTTTCTCTTTTAATATTTAGATCTTTGATCCATTAAGATTTTAGTTTACTGAATGGTGATAGACACGTGTATCTTTGGCATGTGGAAAGCTAGTTTTTCCAGCACCATTTATTAAAAAGGCTATCTTTCTTCCAGCGAATTTGGGTGCCCCCTTTGTCAAAGATAAGATGAGCTTATTTGGAGTTGTTTCTGCACTTTTTAATCTGTCCCATTAACCTTTGGGTCTATTTTTTCTCCAGGACCAGGCTGTTTTTATCTAAGTAGTTCTGAGGTATAGTTTCAAATCAGGGATTGTGAAAGCCCCTGCCTTGCCTTTATTGTCCGAACTGTTTTTGCTATTCTGGGTCTCTTCTGGTTCCAAAGGAATTTTAGGAAGGTTTTCTATAGTTCTATGAGGTTTGCTAATGGTATTTTGATTGAGATTGCTTTAAATCTGTAAAACAATTTTGGGAATATGACCATTTTCAGTGTTAGCCTTTCTACCTAAGAGCAAGGGACATAGTTCTATTCTCTGCTGTCCTCTTCATTTTCTTTTTTCAGAATATTGTAGTCTTCAATGTAAAGGTCTTTTACTTCCTGTGTTAGATTCATTCCCAGGTATTTCATTTTTTTGAATGCTTTTCTAAAATGTGTTGTTTCCCTAATTTTTCTCTAGTGAGTTTATTTGTGTACAGGAATGTTATTGATTTTTGTGTGTTGACTTTCTTTCCAACTATGCAACTGAATTTAGTTATTAAATCTATAAGTCTTTTGGTGGAGTTTTTGGGGTCTGTGTAGAATGCAATATATGTAATCTGCAAATAATGATAATTTAACTTCTTCCCTTTCTATCTTTATTCTTTTTATTTCTTTCTCTTGTCCAATTGCTCTGGCTACTGTTTCCAGAACTATATTGAATAGGAGCAGTGATAGTGGACATCCTTGTGTTGTTCCTGATTTAAGAATGAAAGCTTTCAGTTTTTGTCCATTTAGTATGATGTTGGCTGTTGGTCTGTCATCGATATCTTTTATCAGATTGAGATAAAGACCATCTATTCTAATTTTCTGTAGGGATTTCATCATGAATAGTGTTGGATTTTGTCAAATACTTTTTCTGCATCTATTGTAACTATCATGTGATTTTTGTTTTTGGCTCTGTGGATATGGTGTGTTACCATATGGTGTGCTGAACCATTCCTGCATCCCTAGCATGAATCCTGCTTGATCATGGTGTATAACCTTGATGATATGCTGCATTATACTTGCCAGTATCTTTGTGAGGGTTTTTGTACCTAAGTTCACTAGGGAGATTGGCCTAAAATTCTCTTTTGGGGTTGGTCTTTCTCTAATTTTGATATCAGGGTAATATTTTCTTCCAGGAGTGACTTTGGGAGTACCGCTTTCCTTTAAATGTTGTTAAAGAGTTTGAGGAGTACTGGGATTACATTGCCTGTAAATTTATTGTAGAATCAATCAGTGACTCAGTCAGGATCTGGCTTTTTTCTTTTTCTTTTCCTTTTTTTTGTTGGTAAGTATTTGATTACATTTTCAATTTCATTGATAATTGATTACTTTATTATATCTTAATTCAGCTTTGATAATTCATATTCTCTGGGAAGTGTCCATTTTTTCTGTTTTCTATCTTATTAAAGTCTCTCAAAGTAGGTATTTAAGATCTTTTGGATTTCTGTAGGATGTGTTGTGATTTCACCTTTATTTAAAAGAATTTTATTTAAAATAATTTATCCTAATTGCATGAATTTGAGTCTTTTCTTTCCTTTTTTGGGGGGATGAGACTGGTTAAGGGCTTATCAATTTTATTTATTCTTTCAAAGAACCAACTCTTCAATTCATTGATTCTTTGTATAGTTTTCTTCATCTCAACTTCATTAATTTCTGCTCTAATTGTTATAATTTCCTGCCTCATATGACCTTTGGATTTGACTTGTTCTTTTTCTAGAAGTTTGAGGTTCAACATTAGGTTATTTGAACTCATTCTGTTTTCCTGGTGTGAAATTCACTACTATTAATTTCCCTCTTAGGACTGCTTTCATTTCAGCCAGGTATATTCTGGTATGTAGCATCAGCATTATCATTTAACTGTAGATAGTCTTTAATTTCACCTGTGACCTATTGGTTGTTTAGGAGGGTGTTTCCATGTACCTATGTAATTTCCATATGTTTAAATATTTTTGTGGTTTCTTTTCATTTCTAATATCACTGCACTATGATCAGATAATATGCATGGGATGGTATCACTTCCTTTGCATTTCTGTAAGCATGTTCTATATGATCTATTTTGGAGAACATCCAATGAGAAGTTGAGAAGAATGTGTATTCTAATGTTGTTGGGTGGAACGCTCTGTAGACATCTACTAAGTCCATTTGTTCACAAGTTTGGTTCAGTTCTGATATTTCTTTGTTTATTTTTTTCTAGTTGATATATTTGTGACAGTGGAGTACTAAGGTTCAACATTACAATTGTGCTTATGCTTATTTGATTTTTCAAGTCCATGTTTTATATAATTGGGCATAAACATATTTGGTACATATATATTTATGATTATTACTTCTTTTCTTGCAGTTTTCTCTTAACAAGTATGTAAAGACCTTCTTTGTCTCTTTAGATCAGTCTTGGCTTGAAGTTCACATTGTCTCCACATAGAATAGTTTCCCTTGCTTGTTTTCTGAGTTCTTGTTATGTGGAGTATTGTTTTCCATCCTTTGATTTTCAGTCTAAGAATTTCTTTTTGAGTTGAATATGTTTCTTATATGCAGTATGTTGTTGGATCTTTTTATTGATCCAATACGATTGTCTGTGAGGCAGGTAGAACTCCAATGAGCCATGACCAAAACAAATCTAAACTAAGGCATATAATAATAAAGATTCCAAAAACTTAGCAAAAGGAGAATATTAAAAGCTGTTAGAGAAAAGAAACAAATCACCTATAAAGGAAAACCTTCAGAATCACAGCAGATTTCTTAACTCAAGCCTTTATACCAAAGAGAGCTTGGAGCAAAGTATTTCAAGTCCTGAAAGAAAACAATCTCCAACCCAGACTGATGTACCCTACAGAATTATCTTTCAAAATCAATGGAGAAATAAGATACTTCTGTGAGAAAGAACAACTGAAGAAATTCGTGACCACCAAACCATCTATATAAAATATTCTGAAAGATAGCATAGAAAGAGATAACAAAGACTACAATTCCAAGAATATCCATAGAAAGAAACTACCAAGCAATTAAACTGGATAAGCAAGTAAAGACTGTGACACCTTTTTTTTTTTCTTGTGATACTGGAGATTGAGCCCAGAACCTTGTGCATACTAGGCAAGTGCCCTACCACTGAACTACATCCTCAGCCCTGATTCTGACATCTTTTAAACCTGTTTTCTTCTCATCCATGCCATATATGTGCAATCTGATTAAAAGGCCTATATAGTCTTTTCTTTGACACTAGCAGGAAGTTCAAGCCACACATGATAACCTTTGTCCAAGGCTTGCTTAGTAGTCACCATAAAAAGCTCATAACATTCTTTCTCTGCTTCATCAAGAATTTTTTGGGCCTTGTTGGGAGCCCCTCCACTCTTCCCAGGAAGACTCACTATGTGAGTAATATATCTTTTCATACCCCCTTGCAGCATGGTTGTATGTATGCACATATCCAAATTAAGTGTTGAGTCAGGGTCCATCCTGACTATATGTTCACAGTAATTTTATTAAGTGTTTAATGAATACAAAGGAATATTAATAAGTTTAAAAATATAAAAGTATCCATTTAATCTGTTCCTAGTGCTACAAGAAAATGCTTTGGACTGGATAATTTATAAACAACAGACATTGATTTCTCAGTTATGAAGATAGGGGAGTTAAAGATCATGATATCAGCAGGTTTGGAGTCTGAGGAAAGAAGCTGTCTCCTCTCAGGATGGCAGTTTCTTGCTTTGTCCTTACTTGGTAGCATGAAAGTTGTGTCCTAATGTGGCAGAAGATACAGAAAGGCTAGGTGGCTCTCTGGAGCCTTTATAAGGGCATTAAGTCCATTTATGAGGATAGAATCCTCATTAGTTCCCAAAAGACCTTACCACTACCTACCACCATGACGGGAATTAAGCTTCAACATGTGAATCCTGGAGGGACACAAACTTTCAAGTCATAGCAGCAGCAGCAGCAGCAGCAGCAGCAATAACAACAACAAGGCTGTAGACTTATCAACCAGCCTAAGAAACAGAATGTTACTAATTTATTTGACATGCTTCTCCCTGATTTTATGCCCTACCTAAATTGATCCTCCACCTCAGCTCATTAGAACATTTAGTCTGAATTTTTAAATATTTATCGTTCCTCTTTTAAATTTTTATATTTTAACCACAGATGTAAGCTGTACTAAATTATAGATTATTTTCCTTTGCATCATTATAATCTTGATATAAATAAAACCACACAGTATATGCTATTTGGAGACTTTCTCTTTTCAACATTGTCTTTCTATGTTATTCATATGGATTCATGTAGCTACATGCATTCTTTTTTCCTTTCCTATTGTATGTTCATTGACTATAAGTTGTTTACAGATTTTCTTTCAGTTGACACGTTGGATCCCCACTCCTGTCTCTTTATTTTACCTGAAACATTACTGCAGTATTAATACTCTTCTGCACGAGTTCTGGTAAAAATGTACAAACTACTCCAGTGTGTATGCCTAGGATTAGAGTTCCTGGGTCATACAGAAACACAGCTAACCAGTGATGACAAATTGGTTTTTAAAGGAGCAAGAAATACATTTGATACCTCACATATCTACCATTTAGATAGTCTTTTTATATCATTGTTAATTAATGCCAGAGATCAAACTCACGACCTCGCACTTGCCAATCAGGCATTTGTGCTGTTGAGCTAAAAACCTCAAGCCCCCTTTTATATCATTTATTAAAAGGTTCTTAACCTACTGATCTGTAATGTCACCTCCATCGTAAATCCAATTTGCTTGTACATGTGATCTGTTTCTGACTTTCCTGGTGTGATCTATTTTCATCTATCTTTATACAAGTGCAGAGCTGGCTTATGAATGGCTTGATTTCTGTTAGAACAAGACTCTAACTTTATTTTAAGAGTATTCTGGTTATTGTTGATCTTTGTTCTGTAGAAATTTTAGAACCACTTAGCTTGTTGGTTAAGCTGTAAGCTGGGATTTAATTGAATCTACGAATCAGTTAAAAGAGAATGAACACTATTGAGCCCACCAATATTAAACATAGCGTATCTCCCCTGCCTTACAGAAATCTTAATAAAGTGTTAGTTTTCTTCAGATAGTCATTATACATTTTTGGTTAGATTTATTCCCCTGGTTATGGGATCTAATTTTATACATTATTGTAATTGTAATCTTTTTCTAAATTAAACTTTATATTTTATCTTAGCTGTGGCTTTGATAGTGGGTATAAAAGAAACTGACTTGAATAACTTGGTTTTGATTCTGTCAGAAATTCAAGAACTTTATAAAATGTTCTGATTTTTTCTCTTGTACTTGAATAATAACTATTTTGTTTCTTTTTTGCAGTCTTTGCCACTTTGAACTCTTTTTAACTTTGAACTGCCTAGAACCTTCAACATAAAGTTGTGCAGAAATGTTTTGTTCCTGATTGTAAAGGTGAATATTTTTAATAGGTAATCTAGGAGTGCTCCCGTTTTTCTGAAAACTGACAGGGGTTGCAGACACTGCCTTTTCCAACTCAGCAAGATTAGGTAAGCTTGATCCCAGCTTCCCTGAGGCCTAGAAGCTCTTTTTCAAGATGCTTAAATCAAGTTTTCCCATGATTTCCAGTAAAAATGAAAACCCATGACCACACAAAGACTTCAACATAAATATTCATGGCAGCATCATTCATGAAGCTGAGAAGTAAAAACAGCCTACATGTTCACTAACAGGTAAGTGGATAAACAAAATATGACATACTCATACATTAGAATATTATTTGGCAGTAAAAAATGAATAACATAACTTAGTGAGACCCCATCTCAAAATAAAAAATAAAAAGGATTAGGGCATAGCTGAGTGGTAGAGTAGCCCTACGTTCCACCCCCAGTACAGATGTTGAAGAAAGAAGGTAGATTAGTAGTTCTCCAGGGCTGTGAGTGTGAGTAGGAATGGAGGGTAACTAAATCACAGAAGTGTTTTTTACAGTGATGAAAATGTTCTAAAATCAGATTGCAATAGGGTAAAAATCAGTTACATAAAAATTAGCTTGTTATATACATTCACAAATATACTAAACTTCAATGAATTATACACTTAAAATGGAAGAGCTATGGAATTAAAATATATTTCAATGAGGCTTTTTAAAAAAATTAACAAAATCACCCAATATCCCATGACAACTAACTGACTGGCGGCCATCTAAACTTAGACTTGGTGGTGCCTAGCTCCTTACTGGTTACTCACTGTATAAAAGGTGCTCTGCTGTTTGCATAGAAGGTAGAAAAGAGAAGCGGCAGGGGAGTCCTCCAAGTCACCAAACACGTGGCATCTTTCCATTTCTTGCTATTTATAATAGCGTTTCTTGCACTAGAAGCCACTCTCACCAAGTCAATGGAATACACATCCCCTCAGCAGCACCACACCTCTGTATCCAGCAGTGCTTTGGCCCCTGCTTACCTCTGCATTTTACTAGATGAAGACTAGAGAATTAGACCTTATCTTACTGTAATGTTCCAAATTTTCCACCCCAAATTTTAAAAAAAAACTGTTCTTTATACCTATATTACATATCATTGTGGTGTCTAGTTTCACTTCTGATTTGCCAATAATTATTATGTTGGATGTTGAATAATTCAATTTATCCCATTTGCTGAGGGGAATATTCGGTACTTTTCCCTTCAAACGTTACTGTAGCAAGTTACATAAATTATTTTTAATGTCAATCTAATCTTCCATCCTTAGTTAAATCCAGTTTTGTTAATATACAGGTGCCACTGGTATCCCACGTAAGTCCCCTGGGATCCTTTCCACCAATCTGTTGTGCCCATTTTCCAAATGCTGCTAGCAGCTACACCTGCATTATTCTTTGGAGACTTCCCCTTATTTGGTTGAATGACTGCCCTAGAAGATGCTTAGAAATGACATACCTCAGTGATCCTGGTGGTGCAGGGAGACCATGTGGGAGCTCTGTTGAGCACCAACAGCAGCAGAGTTGCTGTGTGGGTTTTTGGCCGCCATGATGCTGATGTAATGAGATTATGAATGGATTAGCCATAGTGGCAGAAACAAAGGCTATGCATGGGCAGAAAAGCAGACCTAACAAGAAAGACTGGTACCAAGTACTGATAGTCTTGACACCAACCACTTGGTGGCACTCTTTTGCGTAAGATCCCTCCCACCCTAAAAAAAAAAAAAAAACAGAGATTCATTTAGAGCTAAGATCAACATGTTTTCTAGATATAGGTTTCCCTTTCCTGCTTTCACTGACTTAGCCAGCACCTCTGTATAGAAGCTCACACTGACACTGGATTTCCCACATACCCTATCAATCAAAGGACCCTGTTTTGACAGAAGAAATTCAGTAACAAGGCTGGTGTTTCACTTAAACTCATACTGTAAGCTTTTACCCCAATAAAGTAATGGAATGGCCTCCAACCTGAGGGAACCAGCTTGGAGAGGTTACTTATAAAGGAGCACTATCCTTCAGGAGACATTACGTAAGGTAAAGTAAAATAGTCCACTATGGTTCACAGGCCATTAGTGGCCTGCTTGTGTTTTTATAAACAAGCTGTTATTGAAACAGAACTACCGCTCGTCATTTATATACTGTCTGGGGCTCCTTTCATTGTACATAAGTAGAATTGAGTAGTGTGACAGAGACTGAATGGTCTTCAAATATTTACTGGCTCATTCTTGCTTTAAACCAAGTGTTGTTATATGGTACTTTTCAGAATAGAATATATGAGTCTCAGAATCAAGGGGTAGCTACGTGCCAGGAACTCATTTGTGTAACTTTTTATTCCAGTTTTGAAATTTATGCTCTATAGTTTAAGAATAAGCACTAATTCTTAGAATGGGGAAATTTGTACTAGAGAACCCATCAGTAAGTTCCACTATCCTTAATGCTATGCCTGTGACTGATTATTTTAGGCTGTTATGCCAGAGATCAGCATGCAAAGAGTTACACTTGATGTGATAGTTGACTATGAGGATGATAATTTTGATGCTATATATTGATGACTAGGAGGGATGTTTAGCATTTGTGTGGGTCAACTCCAGTTTTAACTGTAATTTGGTAAGTAAAGCAACTGTAGCAAGTTAAGGTTATAGTAACCAAACTCAAAACCACACCTAGACCAGCAGGAAGGTTGGCTGACTGTAAAGAAAATAGAGAATGGTAGTAAAGAATCAGCATCAGTTCTGACCTCGGGACCAACTGCAGCAGTGGAACTCTTTGCTTCATCTTTTTTTAAAAAATTTTTCTAGAAATTATAGTTAAACAAAACTCTGGAAAAGTAATTTAAAAAGCACAGTGAAACTAATGTGCAAAGCATCCCAGTGGTACAAGGGATGGAAGGCAGCAATGTTGGTATTTGGTCCAGGTCCCCTGAATCTCCATTCATTGGTTCATTGCTCCCATTCTCCAGATGCTGCAGGTGCTTCTGCTAATAACTCACATCTGCAGCAGTCTCAGGAGGCCTGCCCCTGGTAGAGCGAAGCAATGTCACCTGATGCTCTCTGAAAGTTATGAGTTTATCCCTGTCACAACATATGAACAATGGCTATTTGATGCCTGGAAGTGTGACAGCCTCACTCTCTGGCCAGGAGATGGGAAAGATCTAGGGATGCAGTGTAGGCCTCTAATCTAGTGATTTCAGGCTGAGGCTAGCCTTTAGCTAAAATCATGGTCTTATTCTTCCCTCGCCTCCAACTCTCCACTTTCCTGATTCTCTTATGGAGTCTCATGTAATCATGTCATTTCTTTACTGGTAAAATGTCCTGCTTTCATAGTGTTTTCCTGATGTCTAAAAGTCATAATGCTTAGTTCATTAATTTTGGAGCCTATCATTTCTGTTTACACAGGAATGCATAATTACCCATTTTTCTCAACAAGTGACTTTAATAGCATTCTTTATCATTCAATTCAATTTTGTAATTTCTATTATGAACTTTGTTGGTCCACAAATGCATTTTAAAAAATTTCAAACAGATATTTTATTTTGTTATTTTTGACCTTATTTTATGGTTTTCAGATAAGAGTTCTCTATGATATCAATTCTTAGTCTGTTTTTAAAATTTTTATTTTAAAAAGACTAAAACCAAGCAAAATAAAACAGAATAAAGCCAATCAAAACAAACTAGTGTAAGTGACACAGGACTTTAAAACAAGATAATAGGAAATCAACAATGGTTACCATAATGCCTGTTGTCTTCAAAATAGTTGCCCATACCTTTAGACGCAGTAAAAATCACATTAAACAAAGAGAGACTAGAACAAGTAAAAAAAAGGACTTCAAAACAAGATAATAGTGAATCCAAAATGGCTACCATATCTTGTTATCTTTGAAATAGCTGCCCATGCCATCAGATACAACAAAATCAAACAAAACAAAACAAAATAGAATAAAACCCAACCAAACAAACCAATGAAAACGATACTAGACTTCAAAACAAGATAATAGGAAATTAACAATGGCCACCACCTTCAGAAGGAGATCCCCATAGATACTACATTGTGTACTGTTATCCTCTGAATGGGTGATCAGACTACTGACTTTAGGCCTGCAAAGTCAGCAAAACACTAACTACTGCAAGAATTAAGTTTTATTTTGCCACATTAGCTATCATCACATCCTGTGTTTCTGTGGATCAGCTGGTTGCTTAGGGTGGGTGAGATGGGGAGGAACACTGGCTGTTCTGTCTCTCTGCCCATGCACCGGCTGTTATCTGGCTGTCCCCCAGTCAGCCTGCTACTGGCACCAATTCTCAGGAGGTCTTAGGTTCTTGTTGACTTCTTGCGTTCCTCTCTCACAGTCCATGAATGGTGCTTACTCTGTCCGTCTCTTTCATCTTGTTCATTATATCTTATCCTAATAAATTCAATTTTTGTTATGTATATGAAAGGTTGCCTTTAGAATTCCTCAACTGTAAATCTCTTAGTAGTAAATTCCTTTTGTCAGCAAGGGTTTTATTGCATCACTACCATCCCCTTTTTAAAAGTGAGAATTTTCCGGGATACTCAACTCCAGATTTTTTATTTAAAATTTGAGGGTAGGATGCTACTGTCTCGATAGTACTGTGGTTGTTCAGAACTCAGCTGTAAAATTGCCTGATTTTGTCTCTAACCTTTCTTTCCTTCTTGCTTTTTTTATAGCACTTCTTTGAACTTGCATAATGCTCTACAATTTGTCTGGATGTGGAAGTTCTTTCATTTATCAGCTTTGGGTTTAGAAATCTTAAATACAAAGATCCATCAATCTGGAAAATCTTCAGCTTTCATCTCTAGGATTATTGCTTTTATTCAGTTCTATCCGGAAACTCTGACTAGGTAATTCTAATGCCCAGGAGTTTTCCATTCATTTGCATTACTTATATCTTTGCTGCTTTTTTCCCTTTTTGTTTTGTGTCTTGTATTTGGTTTTATGAGATAGGTTCTTCCTGTGCAGTCCAGACTAGCCTCAAACTCACAGCAGTGCCTCTGCCTTGGCCTCCTTGAGTACTAAGATTACAGGCATTACCACACCGAGCCTGCCCCTTTTTTCCTATACTGCATACTTTTTTGTGTACTGGGAATTGTATTCAGCACCTTGCACTTGCCAGGCAGGTGCTGTGCCACGGAGCTATATCCCTGGCTGTGCTGTACAATTTTGTTAAAAGAATTTCTCAGTTCACTAACTTTTTTCTTTAGGTGTGTAAAAACATCACTAAATGTATCATTTGGCTTTTTATTTCAGAATAAATATTAAACATAGCTACATAGATGTAGATATAGGTATGTTACTTTCTGTTTGTTTTTTAAACAGCTCGCCTTGTTTTTAGTAGTATCTTCAGTGTTCTTGTATCCAGCCCGTGGCCTTGTGTATGCCAGACAAATATTCTGCTACTGAGCTACATCTCTAGCCCTCCATTACTCTTAGAAAACATATTTTTATATTCTGTCTAATAGTATGAGTAACAGAATTCTTTGTTGTAGTCTTTATTGTTGGTTTTTATTCACGGAAACCTATAGAGTTTGTGATATTTGCAAATATAAGTTTGATGAATTGTATCTGCAGTAACTTTGTGAGGCCTAAGTTGAAAAATGCATTTCTCCAGAGAGAATTAGCATTTTGGCTTCTGTTTCTTGAAAATACTAGAGCTTGTATATTTTGGAAATAAATTACACATTGCTCAGTTTTCATTGGCATATAAGTAGTGAATTTATTTCTCCAAGCTGCACATGGGGCCAGCTAGTATGCAGGAAAACTCAGAATTTGACTCTTTCTCCAATCATCAAAACTAAAAGGCATTTTCCCCATTATCTTCCTCTGTAGGTGACAGTTTCTTTTTAGTCACCTTGTTTTATCTTATGTCATTCCTCATAACATCCCTCTTGGCAAAACCCAGACTGCGTACTTTCCCTGTCATTCTATGCAGCCATCGAAGTGTGAGACCGAGTTCATCAGGACCGGGCAGGGACCTTCAGAGAAAATGCCAACCTCAGTACCACCGTCTTCCCTGGACTTCTGCCTCTACTGCATGACTGATCTTAACACAAGCGTGCGTACTCAAACATTGGGAGAGTTTTAAATTACTTTGCTTTTAACACTGCAACTGTACATAGAGTTTACTATTGTGCCAAATGATGGAAGTTCCATTTTATAATATTATCATTTGTTAATTTTCAACAAGTAAACTAGAAAGACCATAAAAGGGTGATATTTCATAAAGTTTTAAACTGTGTCACCTGTCCAATGTCACTGGCTTTGATCCCTTAAGTAGAATCTCCAGCACTCCAATTTCAGTCAATGACCATGCACTCATTACTCTGTCCGTTTCCTTGGTTTTCACGCTTGAATCTAGAACATGCTCAGAACCTAACTTTTGTCTTTATTCCTCATTTGAAACCTCAAATTACCTACACTTGAACACCAGTTAACTTCCTGAGTTTTTGTATTTGATACTAGAACTTGCCTTTGCTCACATCTTTGAGCTTTTTGCCTTTTCTTATCATAGCGAGCATGCCACCTAACCAGATTCTACATTAAGCATCATACTATTTTTTGTTACTTGGTGTCCTGAAAAAGCCTGTCCCCATTCAAAAAATGGAGAGAGCAGAAAACTAGATAGAATCAGTTCTACATGTGACCATTTTTCTGTCTGTGATCAAATTTGGTGTTCAAAACGCAATATTCTCTAAGAATATCTGTAACTTACTATTAACAATATTGCTATTAATGTTAAGGCATCTCTTATTCCATATCGGGTATTGACTTATTGATATCATATTCAGTAAATGTTCTCTATTGCTCATCTTACATGATTCCTTCATAGTTTTTTATTTGTATAGATCTTTCAGCCTTTAGAACTGCAGCATGTGTCAGTGCTCCAAACAGGGTACACAAGGTTTCCTTGTGTCAAGAAAACATCCCTTTGAATGTGTATTTTCGTCTCCAAATAAAATACTATGGACAGAAGAATGTAGTGCTCTTGTTAGCTGGGTGTTTTCCATGTGAAAACCGCTAAACCCAGAAAAGGCTTATATTTCATTGCAAGTTTAAAAACTTGAATAGAGGAAGTTGTGGTATTCATCAGAATATGAAACAATAGGTACAGAAAAATAAAAACACATTTTCAGCTATTTTTCACTGCCTCTGGCTAAAGACTGGTTACAAGAGAATGTTGTAGAAAATTCCACCCTAAAACTCCTCACCTGTTAAACTTCTTTCCTTTTTTATTTTATGGAAAAAAGCTAAAATGCAATTTCATAACAAGATGCTAGAAGAATAACAATAGGTAATACTTTGCATATTATCTTTGAAGTAGCTGCTCAGGGTATAAAATATGGGCATAAAATATTCTTCAATCGATATTAGTACAAACCTTCGTTTTCTGTGAACAGACAAAATAGTATAACTAGCTTGCATTCTTTTCTTTCTTCCTTTCCCTTTAAAGTTTATTTTCGTATACCTTTAAAGAACTGATATGATCAAATGTCCTGCCCTCTTTCGTGGGATAGACAGCGTACTCCTGCACATTTGAAGGGTAGCCACGTCTCCTGTTCCCTAAACACCTAGCATAAGCCCCGTCTTTCCCAAGCACAGTTTCTGTCCTTGAGCTCTGCCATTCTCTAGCTTCCTACCTGGTACAGGAGGCGAAACGATGGTGAATAATGAGAGATTGGGTGAATCAGCGGTTAGTCCGCGCTCGCCTTGAGTCAGTTTGCCAGTCTTACCGCATGGGGGCGATAGGAAGCAAGGAAGGGGAGAACTGCGTTCCTGACTCACACCGCGCCCCAGAACTTGACAAGACAGGCGACTTCCCCTGAAATTAAAGAAAGGGAAAGACAGGAAAGGAGAGCGAAAGAAGAGAAGGGCATACAGACTTTATTTTTATTTCAGAAGGTATCTCTCTAGTCCTTTTTCTAAGTATAAGGAATACTGTAATGCATAGTATTTATTTTTATTAATAGTGTGTTTCCTATGTCCTTAAATATTTAGCAGCATAACATTTTTAAATCACTGGATAAATCTCCAAAAGATATAGAATAATACAACCAATCAATACAATGTATTTGGACAGTTCAAGTATTGACAGATTTTCTATATAAATAATGCTGTACTTAATTTATAAGGGTTTTAAAAAACTAAATATCATGCTTTTTCTTATGAATAAATTATAGCTAGAAATGGTGTGCTAATGTGACTGTAGATGTTTTAAAAAGAGAAATCTTGCTAAATTCGCCAAGAATTGTGTACCAGTTTATACTCCATGTGTTACACTTGAACATATTTGTTGCTCATTTCTCTATCATTCCAACAGTTCATTTTTTAGTTTTCACTAGTCTATTTGTTTCTTAAATTATAATGAGATTCAATATTTTATTCACATAATTCCTTGTTTTTATTCCTTTTTAAATTTTCCATTAGTATGCTTGATCCAAACACTTTATCTGAATTGTTTGGCTCCAGGTTGGATATGGAGTGCCCCATCACTCCCAGGATGAGAAAGCATTAGCAAAAGAATTCTGTGTTTTTTAGGAAGCACTTCCACTTCGTATGATGCATTTTATATAAACTTTTTCTTCCCCCATCTCAAAATCTTCCTGGTTTTATCATGATCTTCCCTTCACACAGCTGCCCTGTAAAGCTTGTGGAAACATCTGTGTCAGAAGCATTGAGAGTCCTCACAGCAGCAGGAAACTGAGCCCTGTATGCTGCCACCAGCTGGCAAAAGTGTCCTTTTCTTGCTCTGCTTCATTCCCCGATGGTGAAGTGCAGTCTTTCATTCACTTTTTGTGTAACCCATCCTGATGAATTAACCACTTGATATTACAGTGGCACTTAGGACTTGGGGAGGGCTGAGAAGAGGAATGAAATAAAATAATTAGCAGAAATAAAAGAGTGGGGGGGCAGGAAACCTTATGCTTAGAAGAAAAATTTAACTGGACAGTCTTGAAATAGACTTCATTACTTTGGAATTAAATCCAGGTGTTCTATTTAGTGTGGTTGGCAGCAGGAGTGGATTATGTTTTAACATTATTTTCTATGGCAAAGTTATTTTTAGGAATAATCACGAAATGAAATAAATAATAATAATGGCTAAGAAAAATTTATAAACAGTGCACATTTCTTTTGTTGGTCCCAATATCATGTGGGTAAAATAAATAAATGAAAAGATAAATGAAAATAAAGATTCCATTTCAAAAATGGGAAAGACTGAAATTTTTTTCATTGAAATTTCTATACAAAATTACACTACTGAAAAAGTTTTTAAAGATTGAAAAGTAAAATGAATAGTATGATACAAAATAATATCTGAATTGTTTTGCTCCAGATTATCGGATATGTAACACCCCGTCACCATAGTGTTATGGTTTGTGTCTAGATGTTCCCCCAAAGCCTCATGAGGTTTTAGGCTTGTTGGGAAGCATCTGAACCTAGAGTGTGTGATGCTGGGACTAGGGGTATGTGATTGCTAAATCAGTTCTCTGATTAGGTTGGCATCATGCTAATCTCAGCAATCTATATATAATGCATTAAAGCCAGAAAGAGATTTGTCTGCCATTCCTTGTTGCTTTGCTACTTTCTTCCTGCCATGAATTGTTCTCTGCCAAGCCTGCCTTGGAGCCAGCCTATTATGGACTGAAACTTCCACACACTATGAGCCAAGAAAATCTTTCTCCCTTTAACTTTGGGTATTGGGTATTTTGTCTCAGCAGTGAGAGAATAAAGACTAGTACACGTAGTAATAAATTACTACTTATTAACATTCATTAAGGTATTTTAAAAATAGTAAAATTTACTTCAAATGTCCTATCATAGAAATGCAGTCTGTTCTGTCTCCATCGGTCTTAACAGGTTGTATCTTATTGGATTTTATTATATGTGATAATATAAGCAAAAACTTTTATAGACAAGGAGATTATACAGAAACTATTGTTCATTTTCTGATAGTTGGTTCTACATACCCTGTAATACTGTCATTCTCTTGAATGCTTTTACATTGTCTTGATATGTTTGGTGCTACAGTATACGAAGTTATACTCAAAGATTTCAAGGAAAGAGACACTATGGTAACTACTTTTATGTCAGGATATCTTGTGGTGAAACACTATTTTGCTTAAATGGTTATGTTTTGACCTGAGCTGTTTTGTTGTTATACCCTCTTTTATCTCAATCTCCTTTTTTTAATTATTTACTTTTTTATTTTTATCTTTTTAATTAAGGGAAAAATAAATAAAAAATAGCAGGATATATTATAGTAACCCACTTTGATTTTCTATTAACTTGATTTGAAACCCTGTATTGCCCTCACCATCTTGTTTTGACTGATTTTCCCCTATTCTGCTTTGGTTGATAGTACCAAGTTCAGAAGTTAGGCAACAACTTGAAGACAATAAGATTCATTATGACGCCCATTCTGGTTGGCTATTATCTTCTTTTAAAGTCCTGTAATGTCTCCAATGTTTTGGTTTTATTCTTTACTGTTTTGTTCAATTTTATTGTAACTGATGATATAGGCAATTCTTTTTAAGATAGCAAGAGGCAGTATAGTAACCATTGTTGATCACCTTGTATTTTGTTTTTACATTATTTATTATGTCCATCTTTTTGATTGGACTGACTCTGTTCTGTTATGTCACATTTGGTTTTACTTTCTTCAAAAAAAGTAATAAGAACTGTGGGAGTAATAAAATACAAAATGTGTAATTGTCATTGTACAAAAGAGAGGAAAAGAAAGTGCTCTAAAGGATTTAACTATATTTAAGTGTATAAGATAGATAACCATATTACTGAGTTTTGTTGGATCATTGAACAGAACTGTTTGCAGTCTCACTGTTTGAAAGTCCACTTTATATGCTTTAATTTTGTAACTTGAACAACTATTTCTAAGATGACAGTATGTAATCTATTAACTAGTGATTTCCTAGTGTTTATTTTTTCTGAAATTCTGTATAACTTATACCCTTTTTCTGTTTTTTTTCTTTTTCTCCTTAAATAAAATAAAAAAAAAAAAAAAGAAATGCACTCTGTGTCTTATTCAGCCATAATTTCCAGAGTTGTCCATGACTCACAGTTGACTCTCTTCACATATTTGTGCTCCATGGAGAATATAAGAAATTTTTTCAATTAGTTTTTCATTAATTTCTTTTTGGAGACAGGGTCTCACTGTGTAGTTCAGACTGGGCTTGAACTCACTATGCATCCCAGGCTAGCTTTCAACTCACAGCAATCCTCTACCTCAGTCTCCCAAATGCAGAGATCATGAGGATGTGTAACCACATCCAACTTATTTGTTCATTAATTTTAACTTAAAAGCTTTTTAGCATGAAACAAGATGATGAAATAGTTAAAGAGACTTTTCAGTGAAAAGATAAGCAGATTCACAAAAATCCAATTTTGTAATAAAGTCCAAAAGGTACAAAATGACCAATATTTTTATCTCTTTCAGCATTACTTCTAACAGTTTTCAATTGTCTCTATAACCTACATTTTAAACATAAATAAAATGTTCGTCTTGTCACAGAATGACAGAACTGAAGTAACTCAAGTTTTGTTTCTTTGTGTATCATCGCTTTAAAATTAGTAAACTGTTATCAGTTTAAAACTGAAAGATGTTTTATGAAAGCTTTATGGTAATCACATATACACAATTTATGTAATAAATACATATAAGATAAACACAAATCAAACTATACCAGCAGTAAAAAATCAAATAATGGGCCAGGGATGTAGCTCAATGGTTCAAGCTCTTGTTTGGTAAGTGCAAAGTCCTGAGTTCAATTACTAGTACAGAAAAAAAAAAAAAAAAAGTGAAATCACAAAGAGAGACAGTAATAGAGAAGAAACTGAAAAATAGTAAAAATATGAACAAAATTATAAAAGTAAGTTCTGGCCTATTAATTACTTTAAATATAAATGGGTTAAGTTCTTTAATAAATATATATAGTATAGCTAAATGTATTTTTTACAAAGCCAAATTTTTTTAAAAAGCCAAATCAACAAGCCCCAATAAGAGGATACATGTAAACTGAAGGTCAATATATAGAAAAGGATATTATCATATAAATAATAATCAAAAGACAACAGAACTCATAGAAAATAGATTTAAATTAAAAAACTGACACAGTAAGCCAAGAAAATAACTATATAATGAGTCAGTTCAACAAAGGGTATAGCAGTTAGAAACATATAGGAATCTAATATCAGAGCACTCAAGTATATAAAGCTAACTAAACAGAAAAACAGCAAGACAATATGCATAGGAGATACTTATACATCTACTTTCCACAATGGGCAGATCAGCCCCCCAGAAAACTAAATTTAACAGCAGACTTGAACAATACTGTGGACAAAATAGGCCCAACATGTTCTCTAGAACATTGCATCCACAGCAGGAGAATACACTTTGTTATCAAATTTACACAGAGCATTCTCAGGGAGAAATAATGTGTTAGGAACAAAATAAGTCTTACAAAATTTAAGAATATTAAATCATCTCAAATATATTTCTGCCTATATGGTATGAAAAAGGAAATAAAAATGCAGGAAAATCAGTAAGTTCACAAATATATGGAAATTAAACAACAAAATTCGGAGTAAATAAGTTAAAGAAGAAATCAAAAAGAAAATAATTTAAATCTTCACACAAATTAAATGGAAACAACAAATACTAAAATTAACAAGATCCAATGATAGTAATTCCAGAAAGGAACCTATACTAAGAAAACCCAGTTTGAATATACAACCTGTGGTAAGAAAAATAAAAGATATCAAACAATTTAATTTTACATGCCAAGGAACTGCAAAAAGATGAACAAATTATGCTCAAAATTAGCATAAAACAGGGAAAGAAAGATTAAATAAGAAATGTATGAAATGGAAACTAGAAAAACAATACAAAAGGTTGACAAAACCTGAGGTGTTTTTTAAAAGATGAACAAAAACTGGTAATCCTTTAGTAAAACTAAGACAAAAGAAGAGTCAAATAAAAAATTATAAAGTACTACAAATACCACAGAAATACAAAGGAATGTAAGAGTTCTATGTTAACAAATTGTATAATTTGGATACAATGAGTAATTTCTAGAAACATATGACCTATCAATGCTGAACCATGAAGAAATACAAAATCTAAACAGACCAAGAATGAATAAGGAGATTGAGTCAATAATAAAAGCCTTCCATAAAAAAGTCCAGAAACTAATGACTTCATAGCTGAATTCTACTTAACATTCAAAGATTATTCTTAATTGTTCTCAAAAGAAATAAATAATGACAATGAAGTTGAGAGGAAATGTTGAGAGGTGATAATCATACTGATGGTTTTGATGGTAGTAATGATTTCACCAGTGTATACTTATCCCCAACTCATAAAACTAAAGACCTATACATGAAATATGTATAGGTTTTTGTTTGTGAATCATTCCTCTATATAGTGACTTAGAAAAAAAAAGCAAGTATTTGAGAGAGAAACAGATCTGCTTTCTCCCTAATAATTTCTGTGATCCCTGGAAACTTTATCTTTGGGATCTTGACAGTGTGTATAATGAAGGGGTGTAAACAAAGGCATTCCCCAAGTTCCTGGGGAAAATAAACAGCTCCATATTGAACAAATTATGAAGCAAAAATAAGATATCTTAGTCAAGCAAGTCAAAGAAACCTCAGTAGTATCTAACACAAAGAAATGAAAATGGTAATTACCTGATCTGATCATTACATAGTGATTACATGCACAAAATTATCACATTGTACCTCACAAATATGTACATTATTATGTATCAATTTAAATCATTTATTTATTTATTTACGTATTTTTTTGGTACCGGGGATCGAATTCAAGACTGTGTTTACCAAGCAGGCACTTATGCCACTGAGCTAACCCCCCGACCCCTAATTTAAAACATTTTAAAGGCAATGTGTTTGAAAACCTGAATGAATTTAATAAACTTCTAGAAAATTTAATTTACCAAAAGTGACTGAAAAATAGACAACTCGAGTAGCCCTACAAATGATAAGAAAACTGAATGAGTAGATAACTTCTAGTAAAGCAAGATGATATAAAGTCATCTCCCTGACTCACCCCACTAGGCACAACCAAGGTAACCACAATTTGAACACGATAAAGCAATCTTCTAATACTAAAATGGATATGGAACAGATGTTGGAATTACCTGACAAGGATTTTTAATGTGGCCACCCTAAAATACTTCAACAATCAATCTAAATTCCCTTCAAAAAAAATTTCAGGAAAGAAATTGAAGTTATAAAAAACAACCCAATAGATGTTAGAGATGTGAAATATGAATAATTTTTAAATGACTGGATTGACTCCCTAGTAGAGTGGTAATGAGAGGGCCACGAACTTTAACACAAATCAGTGTCAACAAAAGAGATCAAATAGTCTTAAAAAATGAATTGAGTCTCAGGGACCCATGGATCGGTGAGATAATACAAACATTCACATTATGAGATTTGTAGCATTATAGGAGAGAGGGTGGAGATTAAAGAAATAACAGCTGAAAGGTCTCTTAATTTGGTGAAAGACAAAAACCTATATTGTTAAGAAGCTAAGCAAATCTCAAACTGGGGAAACCTACTCAGTATTACATTACAAACTCAGCTTCTGGAAACTAAATTAAAAGAAAGAGATTGTGCAAAGAACCCGACAGAAATAATGCATTACAATGAAGGGATACTAATTTGAATGACAGTAGATTTTTAAAAATCAGAAAACATGCAGACCAGCAAAAGAAAAGAGAAAACATGAAGACCAGAAGGAAGTAGCATAGTTTTCGAGTACAAAAAGAAAAGTACTATCAACTAGTAATTTTATTATGTACGATAGTATAAGCAAAAACCTTTTAAAGACAAGGAGATTATACAGAAACCATTGTTCATTTTCTGTTAGTCGATTCTAAATACTCTGTAATGCTGTCATTCTCTTGAATGGTTTTACATTGTTTTGATATACTTAATGCTACAGTATACAAAGTTGTACTCAAGGATTTCAAAGAAAGAGACAATATGGTAACTACTTTTAGGTTAGGATTATCTGGTGATGAAACACTTTTCTGCTTAAATGGTTATGTTTTGATCTGCGCTGTTTCGTCGTTATGCCCTCTTTTATCTCAATCTCCACTCCATTATTTACTTTTTTATCTTTATCCTTTTAATTAAAGGAAAAAAAATAGCAGGATATATTATAGTAACCCACTTTGACTTTTCATTACCTTGATTTAAAGCCCTGTATTACTCTCACCATCTGGATTTTAACTGATGTTCCCCTATTCTGTTTAGCTGGGTAGTATCAGGTTCGAAAGTTTAGGCATCAGCTGTGAAGATAATGAGATTCATTATGACGCCCATTCTTGTTGACTTTTATCTACTTTTGAAGACCTACAATGTCTCCAATGTTTTGGTTTTGTCGGTTTTATTCTTTACTGTTTTGTTCAATTGTATTATAACTAACGATATAGGCAATTCTATTAGAGATAGCGGGAGGCATTATGGTAACCATTGTTGATCACCTTGTATTATGTTTTTACATTATCTATTATGTCCACCCTTTTGACTTGACCGATTCTGTTCTGTTATGTCACATTTGGTTTTACTCTCTTCCAAAAAAGTAATAAGAACCGTGGGAGCAATGAAACCCAAAATGTGTAATAGTCATGGTACAAAAGAGAGGAAAAGAAAGTGCTCCAAACTATATAACTGCATGTATATTTAAGTGTATAAGATAGAAAATGATATCACAGAGTTTTATTGGATCAATGAACAGAACTGTTTGCAGTATCATTGATGGAATGTCCACTTTACAAGCTTTAATTTTGTGACTTGAACAATTATTTCTAAGATGACAATATGTAATCCATTAACTAGTGATTTCCTACTGTTCATTTTTTTTCTGTAAATCTGTATAACTTGTACCCTTTCCCAGCTTTTTTTTTCTTTTCTCCTTAAATAAAATTAAAAAAAAAAACTAGTAATTTTACACCCTCTAAAACTAACCCTCTTGAGAAAAAAAGAAAGACATTCTCAAAGAAAGAATCTGTAACTAGCAAACCTAAAGATTTGTTAAAAGTAGTT